GCGCGTGTGCGTGCGTGCCCAAGATCCCGAGAGGAGAATGGAGGAGAAGGGATTGCGGCATGGCCATCCCCCCTGGGGGGTGATTTCTCACTTATCTGTCTGTCTGTCTGGCGAGCGCACATGCTCTGTAAAAAAAAAAAAAAAAAAAAAAAAAAGACAAACAAACAAACCACATCTTTCGCGCTTCCACCTTCCTTAGTTATATACAGGATGTTCCTTTTAAACTCTAATGAATACAGATGGAGGAGGAAATGAGCAAAAGGAGGAACCAGGAAATAGCTGCTAACCAAAACAAAATGTATTAGCAATTTGTTGAGGAGTCAAATTGGAAGGGCTGCATTTTCAGTCCTTGATCAGAGTGATGAAATCAAGACTGTCCTAGATACATATATTACGAGCAAATAGAATTATCTTAATCATCTGCTCCAAATGAATTTTTTCAAGTTTCTGCATACTTATGTGGAAGAAGAAATACAGATCAAGCTTGCCCCTATTAGTATAAGTCTTTGAGGATTCGGGGGAGGTTTAGTGGCTTTATTCTTTGGCAAGTTCAATGAGAGCATCTTCAGTGAAATGTCGCTCGGTATTTCCCATTGAATTTCATAGCTCAACAAATTACACAAGACAGAATCTAAGACTTAACACTTCTCCACAGTGAGTTTTGAGCTGAACAAGATTATGCATTGTTTAAAACCTGCAAGAGACCCATTTAATTATTTTGCTATGTTTTCTGTGAGTGTCACAGGAGAAAAAGCTTTCAGAAATACCTTTAGGTAATGCCAGTTGTGCTTTTTTAGAATGTGAGTAATGATTTCAAATGAAACTATTCAAAAGGCAGCACAGTTAAATAAAATGCTTAAACTTGAAATTTTAGCCAAAGGTACACTTTCTAGCTGGGTCCAGTTCTATGAAGCCATAATTTATCTTGTCAACATCTGCAAAACCCATCAGACTCTGTTTGGTCTTTACTATTCTCACAAGCAACTGTTCACGAATAATTGCAAGAGGAATAGCAGGCAAATATAAAGTTAATCCTGCCATTAACAAACTGATAGCACCACAAGGGTAATAAATGCTGAGAAGACTACAGTGTTAGGGACCAGCAGTTGGCATAATGGCTATGTCGCTGGACTCCCATGTAGTTGACCGCGGTTCGATCTACGGACCCAGTGGCTTAAACTCACACCAGGCACGTGTGCATGTGTGCCCAAGATCCCAAGATGAGAATGGAGGAGAAGGGATTATGGCGTGGCCATATGCCCTGGGGGGGGGGTGATTTCTGGCTTTCTGTCTCTCTGTCTCTCTCTGTCTTTCTGCAAGCGCATGCAACCTATAGCAAAAACCTCTACCAAAAAAAAAAAGTACAGTGTTTTTGTTTTTGTTTTTGTTTTTAATATACATGTTCAAGTGATTGTGGGACCAAGGCCCCAGTGCTACTGAATGTTGACCATTGCGACTATGTTCTATGACATCTAATGAGTTCACCAAAGATACTCTAACTGCTTTATATGTTGACTAGCTCACGGTGAACTGAGGCAATGGTATTACTAACAAAATCAACAGCACACAACTATTATTCCAAAAGAGGGACAGTTGGGGATCCTAACATCCATATGTTAGGGGAACAATCTTTGTTTAACTGCATTCTTGATTTAAATGGTAATTCCTTTTGCCTCTGAAAATAATACTTCTAAACTTTATTACTGACAATGTTGAACCATTTTCAGCCAAATACAAGCCTTTGTCATTGAAACAAACTTCCAGAAACAACAGATACAAATAGTCTCTTCATTTAGGGCTTTTCAAGTGGGGTGGTGATAAATTATTAAAGTTTGAACGTTTCACTATTGTTTCTAATTTGCTGTTCATTCTTTTAAACCTATTGCTCCCAAATTAGCTTTGTCAACAGTTTCTTCTGTTCAAGTTGCAAACCACAAGAGAGGTAGGAATTCTTGGATTCATACAGTGATTTCATGGTGTTATGTGTTGTGAAACATTGCACTGTATGAATCTGGAATATCTGTGAAGTGTACCCATCAGCTTATTGGTGAGGCATGTTGACTGATATCAATCAATGCATCAGATAATACTGAGAATGTCATGTATAGCAAACAAAAAAAAAAGATTCACTCAGAAACTTGACTACAATTAAAAAATGCTGCACCATTTGTTTTCTGAAAGATTAATGTGTGAATAAGAATTATAGCCGTTTAGGTTCCTGTTTAGACGATGAATGTTAGAGCACTAACATTGATACTCATTTGCATTGAAAATAAAGAAACCCACTTACAGTGAGTTTCAAGGACGCTTTTCATGAGAACACAATCTCAGGTTCCAAGTATGGTGCCTATGTCATTTTCCAACAAATAAATCACCTTGGAATTGGTGCTTCCAAACAGTTCTTAAAGAATTTGAAAAATGTCAGTGAAGATCTGCACTGGGTTAAGTGTTGATTATGATCTGAAAATAATATTTCTATTACTTTCTTTAAATGAAAGTGAGCAGTATCTCATCTGTGACTCATGAAGAGCCCATTCTAGCTAACATCTGTCATTCACAGAATAAAGATTTTTCAGGAAACAGAAAGACTTCTGTTTTTAATTTCACCATTTTCTTTTAAATGTCCTGTGTAACAGGTGTGTCTTGTTTTCCATCCTTGACTGTTGGGCATATGTCTTGTTTTGGATTTCTTTCTTTTTTTTTTTTTTCCTTCATGAAACATCTCTTGCAAAGAAATGTATTTATTAACAAAATCTAAACTTAGGTTGACCCACTTGGTACGAATGACCATGATAACTTCCCTGTTCCTTATTGAATTTTATCAATTCATTTTCCAGATTTTAATCACTGTTGAATTTGTCTTGTGGTGTAACAGGAGGGAACTGTTCAGCAGATAGAAAAGGGAAATACAGTATTTACACCATGTCGAAAACTCTTCACAATGCACTTTTCACTATGGAACAATGAAGGTGCCCTTTCGAGGGGAATACAAGTGGGTTTGAAATGTGGGGAAGGCGTTTTTTTTTTTTTTAAGAATAGAGTAGCTTCAGATTCAGAGGGTAGAGTGGATTGGGGCCTGTGCCATAATAGGCAAGCAGTCATTGATGCCATTCCTTATCTGTGAGATGCAAATCATTGAAAGAAGTTAAGGAAGTAAAAGAGAAAGGAAGCAAAAATGATTTTTTACAAAGTCCATCTATTTTATGTCATGTCAAGCACACAGAATATACAGGAGGCCTCTTGACCTGGAATTTGACCCTGCATCAGTGAATCTCTAGTTTCTTGAGGGCATAGCATATCCCTACAGGCAAGAAGGATCACCTAATGAAGCAGATCTACTGTAGAAAAATCCACCCTCCTATCAAATGATGTCTGTGGAAGAGCTTCAGTAGCTTTCTTAAGGATGTAAGACAGGGCAGGGCCTGGGAAAAGGATCAGGAAAATGTTAGGGTCTCTTCATTCCCACTTGAGGAGGAGGCCCTGCGGGCCCCAGAAGAGGCATCGTTCTGTTAATGCAGTGAAGGAAAAATGTGTTTTAGAGTTCTAATGCCTATGCCAGATTTCTATCTAAAGTCTTTTCTCCTAGTTCTTTCTTTTAGAGTAACTAAAACACATTTTTATTGGTTACAGTTTGAGTAAGCTTTTCTCATCTGCAAATAAAAAAAATCTATCTGGCTACATGTAGAGTATTTTATGATGTTTACATAGGTAATGTACTAATATAATTACAGGGAACATGAAGAATAGCAAGACATAAGACAAAAGAATGAAATTGAATTTCCTCTTTTTAACAATCTTTTTTTGTACCATTCTCTTGGTCTCTACTCTTTTGTTTTCCTGAAATCTACCTGCCAAGGTATTACCCACCCAGTCTCAGTCAGAAGGAATCTTCTAAATCCTAGAAGAGACTAAAGCCGTCTCTGATCTAGAAAGCCAATGTTGAACTCTTCTCATTTACTGCTTTTAACTAGCTAGTTATTAAGTACCTTATTATCATAACTGCTTTATAAGGCCTTATACAATGCATTTCTATATAATATATAAGATAGATATATATTATATATTCTATGAGATTTAATATTATAAATGTAATATATGTAGATACATATAATATATAAATATATGTAATGTTTTTCTATCTTCCTGCTAGACCATTAAACTAATGATAGACTGAGCCTCCACTTTGTCTCCTGGTACAAAGTGCCTGGTACAGGATATTGTTCAGTAAATGCGTATGTGTTGCCAATGCTTGCCATACCACGTCATGTATGTGTGTTTTTTAAAAAATCCTTTAGATTTGTTTACATAATAGCAATAAACTTATCTAATGTGTATATATATATATATATATATAGATTAATACATACATATACATACTTACCTACAATGCAATTTGAGATTAAAACCTGTAAAAACCCAAAACAAATTTTGGAAATATGCTTCTTTCTGCCTAAACTGATCTTTGCATAAACATATAGTCGACTCTCAGCTACAGTAATCACGAAATCAGTTATAGATTGTGCGCCTGCTGTTTTGTTTTTCAACTCTAATAGATAATATATAGCCAGATTCTCTTACGAAGTTTGAATGGGGGAGAAATGAATATGAACATAACTTTTCTCTGTGTCTTCCTCTATCTCCCTAAGGAAAGTGAATCGGGATCATCATTCATTCACTCATTCATGTGACATTTTTTCAGTGATGAGCACTGAAATGTTTCAGGTTGTGTGGTTACAACTGTGACCAAAATGAACACAGTCTGCATTTCTGTATTTATACTCAGAGTATAAGGGGAGTTTTTGTTTTTAAAATGTACTTTTTGAATATTATAAATTCTATAGAAAAACCATCAAATACGTTTAGGAAATTGGAAGACTAGGGCATGGGGTTGGAGTCTATTACTCAGATAAAGCAGTCAGAGAAATTTTTTTTAAGCAGAGACTTAAAAGTGAAACAAGGCAACAAGGCATGTGGACACCTGGGAGAGGAGTAATCCAGAGTCGGTAGCAGCAGGTGCAAAGGCACTAGGAGGTGCCTAGCATGCTAGCGGGCATGACTGTGCAGCAAATGACAAAGAGAATTGCAGCAATGAGCTCCGGCAGGGGCCAGGGTCCAAGTAGATCACTTGGGAGTGAAGTCCGCTTTTATTTCAAAGGAGATGGGAAGCCATTAGGATGTGAGGAGATGGGTGTCATGACCTAATTTTGAAAGGGCTACTCTAACTGCTGAGTGGAGAGGAGACCTGAACAAGGGTGGAAGCCAGGATCAGCCATTTGGAGTCCCTGGCTGAGGTGTAATCGATCCCCAGCTAAGGATGAGATGGTAGAGGTTGTGAGAGGTGGTGAGATTTGGAATGTATCTTTAAAACAGCCAAAAAGATTGACTAATGGGAAGAAGGGAGACATCAAGAACAGTTCCAGGAATTCTGAGCTAAGAGAGGGGGGAAATGTGAGAGGTCAGTGAACTGGAGAATCAAAGAATTATTAAACTACTAATTTTTTTGTATCTTAACATGATTCCACTCTAATTGCATCATTAATAATCATTAATGGATTCTGTGCCTGTGTGGAAAGATTAGATACTAAGGAGTGGCAAAATAATAGAATACTGACAAAATAATATAACAGTCTAATGATTATATTTTAAATGCCTCGTGTTTATATAATACGCTCATGTTTTCCAAATCTCTTTCAAGGATCTTTTTCTTATTTTATATTCTCAAAATATTATGGCCAGAGAAAAGTTTTATCAAGGTCTCAGAAGTGTTCTAGAAATCATGAAAGAATCAAATTATTATTAACCCATTTCCCAGATATTAAAACATCTTAATGTTTATAAAACATTTTAAACTATCCAGTTATCTTCAGAAATAAGTTTATGATATTGTGCGTGTTAGCTGAATGTGGCTTCTTAGATAGTCATTTTACTTTTACTATCAAAATTAATAAACTGGTTTTCAAATAAGAAGAAGAGTTACTATCATCACAGAAATGTGGACTATTCATTAAATGCAAATAATAGCAGGCAGGGGACCAGCAGATGGCATAATGGTTACATTGCTGGACTCCCATGTAATCAACTGCGGTTGGAGTACTGGACTTAGCAGCTTAAAACTCACACCAGGCGTCTGTGCGGTTGTGCCCAAAATCCCAAGAAGAAAATGGAGGAGATGGGATTGTGGTAGGGCCATCACCCCTGGTGGATGATTTCTCATTTTCAGTCTTTCTGTCTCTGTTTCTCCAGCAAGTGCACACACCCTACAGCAAAAATCTCACAAATAATAGCAGGGAGTGATGTCACATTTGACATACCTATCTATGGGGATATGCAGTGAACTTGCATATCTTACAGATCCATTTTTTTCCTTGAATAAAGCTTTGTCAGATGAAAGTGGTTATGTAGTTTGGTCCATTGGGCAGATCCTATAGAATTCTTTTCTCACAAAGAAAAGAAAATTTTCCAACTGCATTCTCTGCATTTCCCCAACCTCACACCTTTGCTCACTTACCACTATATTTTTTTCACCTGAAATGCTTGTTTCCACCTTTAAAAAAATAAATAAACCCTCCCTGCCATCAAGAAAGACTTAGAGTACGTGTCTTGGATGGCATTTTCCCTGATTCCTCTCAAGTTAAATGCATATCTCCTTCTACCTATATTGCTTTGTGTCACTATTTAGTTTTCTTAGCACATACTATTAAAACTTTGTTTTCTAGCTTTCTGGGCATATTGTTTGTCTTACCTACTAAACAAGCTTCTGGAGAGAAAAGCTTCTGTGTAGTTCCAGAAGATTCTCAAGATGAATTTTTGCAATGAAAGATGATTCTGAAAAAAGCTAGATTAATAAATTAGATGTGTGGAGGACCAACATGAGTCAGGAAATCTGGAGAAGGACAATCAGTAAGGGGCCCCTTCCAGAGGAGACAGGGAGAACTTGACTGAGGACAGGACATTGCCCCTCCTCTAGAACTCCAGGCAGCTTTGGAACAGGCTTGGGGAGAAATGAACTTTGGAGACGTGGTTCTCCTCCCTGAAACCACTGCTCCCAAGAGACTCTGGGTCAGAAAGACTTTTCCCATTTGAAACTCTCAACCAACAAAGACTCTGGAGGTCTTTCCAAGAGAATCAGAAATGCCAGTAT